CAAATAATAATATGTTCTACCATATTTAATTTAACAAATCAATCGTTTAACAAAAAAAAAAAAATAATGGTCTATTTGATCCTCATGAAAACATTGTGATTTTATATTCTTAGAATAATACTTCTAAACTTATTTGCATCCGATTCCGCACCATTGCTTTGAGTAATCAAAATCGTTGTGTGAGCAGACTTTTAAACCATCGGATGAAAAGTTATTAAGATAATTTTGCTTGGAGAAATAATACTATGGTTTAATCATAATTATTCTTTTAATAATAAATTATTTTGACAATTTCTTATACGAGATAAAAAAAGCAGTGCAATTCAAGGTGATTCTGGATGTGTGGATGTAGGCGTATGGGTTGGTTGCAATGGAAAGGTTTAGTAACCAAAAGATATAGATTAGCAGTTGGAAATGATTAGCAGCGCGCGGCATGCGCTATAATGATTACCATTTTGGTCAATACTCAATACTGTTTGTTTGCTCAAGGTCGTTTGGAAGCTGCTGATGGGATTGAGTTTTTGGATTGTTACGGTCCATTTCGATTACAGAGAACGGGTTTATTAAAAAGGAAAATTAATGAAAAAGATTTGAAAACTTTGAGTTTTAATGATAAGGACAAAATAAAGGGTAAAATGAATAGTATCAGGATTGACTTTTTAGTGTAAAAATGTGGTTTTTTCGTTAAAGTGAACAGTACCATGTGCTTTTCATTAAAATTCCCTTATTAAAAACGTGAGGAATCAAAAAAGCAATGGAGCCCACACATATTTTAGAGGAATTGGATTCCTTACCAGAGCAAATCCATCAGCTGCTGCTCGGCGCCCTTGTCCAGTGCCACTGCTTCCCCCATCATCGCAACCACCCTAGGGCATCAACCCAACCCAAATCCACTTGCCATGAGATGCCGGGAACTTGAAACAGATAATTTTGAAATCATAATGCAATGGATTGAAAGAGAGTTATGGTGGCGAAGTGGAGTGGGTTTTTATGAATAGGGAAGATGAGATTTTGGTTTTTTGACGAAAGAGAAAAAGATAATATTGGTAAGGGTTTCTTTATTTTTTATTTATTTATTTTCTATCTTTTAATAAATATTTTTATTTATTTATTAGTATATAAATAATAATTCAGTTTATTATATATATTCTGGATAAGGGGTATTTTAGTAATCGTATTGAATTATATTCCGATTTGAGTAAATTAATAAACAACTTATACGAAATCAATATTATTTTTATTCCGATTTCAGAAAACTTTAGTAAACATCTACTACAAGAATCTAATTCTAACTCCTCTGTATTCCAACTTCTCATTTATTCAATTCATTCCATTTTAATTACAAATTAGTAAACGAGCCCTAAAATTGGTAACAATAATGATGGGTAAATGTTGTCATGCATGTTGTTTGGAAATGATCAAGATGGTTTGATGAGATACGTGCATGCGATGGAATCTTTGTGATGATGATGAGATAAGAAGCCAAGGTGGGCTAGGTTTTTATTTTGTTTAAAAAGGCGTGTTTTTATTCCACGAGTAGATAATCGAGAACATCTTCAATTTAAATTTGGGGTTTCTCCATTTTAATCATTGATAAAGATTGAAATTCAATTAAAATCTTATGTTAGATTTTATATTCATTTTAGTCCTTGGACTATATTTCCATGTCGTCATAAATACTAAAATTCATATTTTCTTTTTAAAAAGATTTAATGCCTTTTTTGGTTCCCATAATGCCCATATTAAATATTTAGTTTAATTTTGCTCCATATTGTTTGACATTGATTATTGTTTGACTTTCTCAAGCGATAAACATACCCCATCTAGACGTCCAAAAAACTATTAGTGATACGTTACAAGAATTAAACAAATACATGATTTAAATTATTCATTATTATCATCCAAAGCATGGAGGAAATAAAAATACCCAAATAATATATTATACATAATCGAATGCACTTAAATCATGTCCTAATGTGCTTAAATCATAGTATGTAGTCGAATCCACATAAATCATAGTACCAAGTCAAATGCACCTAAACTATGGTACCTACTACAATGCACCTAAATCACAGTATCTAGTCGAGTGCACCTAAATATGTAATCATAGTATCTATTTGAATGCACCTACATTATAGTACCTACACAAATGCACCTAAATCATAGTACATGAATGCGGTACATGAAATCATAGTACATGAATGCGGTACATGAATGCACCTAAATCATAGTACATATATGAATGCACCTAAATCATAGTATCTAGTCGAATGCACCTAAATATTTGTACCTTAAGTTCCATGGTAAAAAACAAGTGATGGCATTACAATATAATATATACATAGCCCCTTAAATTTAGAAAATGAATTACGAATTTCTAGAATATGAACTAAAATCAGTTTGAAATTGGAATGAGAATAAGAAAAAAAAACTACGGCAAAGTATCATATAGATTATACATCCTAAAAAAAAGTTATAATAAATGACGTCCTATGATTGTTAACAAAAAAAAAAAAAAAAACCGTCTTCCTTACAAACATTCACAAAAGGGTATAGTTGGAAGAATAAAACAAAAACCAACAAAGAAATAAATGACAACCTAATGTGGAATAACATAGGCTGATGTGGCTATTTGGCCAAGGACTTAATTCAATTGTTAATCTTGCATACGGTATTATTCTAAATCAAATCTTTTTCAAGGATTAATATCTAGTTTTCTATTTAAATTAACAGCACTGAAATTGTAGAATCAAGCAACATTGCTTCAAAATCGGCTAGATATGTATTCAAGTTTCTGTCAGTGAGGAGTTTTCAGCCTTCTTATTGAAAGAGATCATCCCATCTGTCTTTTACCAAGTTACATAATTGGGGCACTTTGAAAGCACATTTGTTGAACTTCACAAAAACTAACAACCTTATCTTTAAGCTCTAAAACCTAAAAGCCGAGATAAATTTTTTCTTTCTTCAATTGTAATCACTTGGATAGGAAGTTAGCAGTACTTTGACAAAAGATTTCGACTCAAAAAATATTTTTTGGCCTCTTCCTCCGTATGGTTGGGCGCTTTCGTTTTCTTTAGCTAAATAATAAATGAATGAATAAATTACCAAAGATAGCTAAGAAAATTTGGGCGTGGGGAAGAACAAGAAGACAAGCAAAGATTTACTGGTGATTTGTTTTCGCCAAGTTACGAAGACAAAAATAAAAAAAAAAGTTGTCAGTGCATTCGGTGAAAGTCCAAATGTCCAATTTTTTGAACTTGAAAAACTTCTCATTGTGATAGGAACACGGATGGTACATCACGTGTTTTTATATAAGTAGTAGGAAATTTTATTTTTTAATGCACATATTTCACTATTTGTATAATGATACGTGGTGTACCACTTGTGTATCTTTTACACTAAAAACTCTCTCCAGAAGTCGGCCATGATTGTTTATTGGCCATTAAGATGAGTGGCGGAAGTATTAGTCAGAGAGGATTGGCCTGGGCTTTGATGACCTTGTCTTTGAAGTTGAAAGCTGAATAGAGACAAAAATGTTGAATTTCCCTACTACCACTAGAATTTAGAGACTCGTTTGATAACATTTTGGTTTTTATTTTTATTTTTATCTTGAAAATAGAAGAGTAATGCATAAGAGAATGAATGGATATAAAAGAGTGGAGGAAGAGTGGTTGCAATGATGTAAAAGAAATGTCCATCGAAAGCTATACAAAATGAAAATAAAAAATAAAAAATAAAAAATTATTTTGAGTCGTTTTTACTTTCAAAATCTTTTTATTAGAGAGATGATTGTCACACTTATTTTAACTGTTGACACCTTCTTTTTGTTTTTTACTATTAAATTAAATAAAACAAAAGTAACCTTCAAGATTAAAAGGAGTGTATACGAAACTAAAAAGAATTTGGATTCCTATTTCTATTTGTCCTCTTTATGAAGGATTATTTGTCCTCTTTATGACCATCCTTCATTTCTGATTCTCTTACTCTACATCTAAACACAGACGACTCGTTCCACATCCGTGGAACATAAAATTATAATCTCTCAATCTCCTTTTTATTCCTCCTTGTTTCCATCCGAGGGCATATTTTTTCCCTCTCCGTTCCGTCCCGTCATGTCCCTTCCCGTCCCGTCTCATTCCGTTCCGTCTACATACCAAACGATACCTTTGGTAATGAAAACAACTGTGCTTCTAGATCACAATGGAAGATAAGTCAAATCAAAATCGCTGAGCTAAAGCCTAAACCCATCATGCATCTGAATCCTTAGAAACATAATAAAAAGAAGAAATTAAAATCTGGTGGCCAGCGTTATAGTATTATACATCTCTCGCAGAAAGAGACATTGTGATGGCATTTTATTTGTCTGTTTTAATCATCTCTCGCTAAGAGAGGAAAGAAAGAAAAACTAAACCACTCTCTCCATCTTCCACACACTATTTTACATTATCTATATCCACTCGCATTTTCTTCTTTTTCACAACCCAATAAAACAAAAGTCCCAATTCATCAGCGGATCTGAATAAAAAAAAGTAGTTGAGGTACCATAAAACAAGTTGAGAAACACAAGAAGATGCATCATTTTTTCTGCTTGTATTATGACATGCAAAACACCATGCGAGTATCCGATATTTGAAAAAAGGGGTTTATGAATTTCATCTATTGCTTGCTTTTGTGGATACTAGGAAGCCATTATTCAGGTTCCATTCTCGTGAATGAGCGGCAAACTTGCATAATACGGTACACCATTATCGTGATCGTGGCTTTTCATGCCAAATAGTCAACACGTGTTAATTCTCCTTTACTCATAAGCATGAGATGTCACGTTGGCGGCGTACCTGGCCGGCCATGAAAGTTTTTTCGTATTTGAGATATCCATTAGCCATTAGCCATTAGCCGTTAGTGGGAAGAAAAAAACAGAACAAGGTGAGGAGAAGGTGAGAAAATACAGAGGAAAAGAAGGACGGGCCAGCTTCCCCACCACCACCTATTGATCTGAGAGAGACAGAAAACCAAAGTAATCATTTGAACATATAGATAATCAGACAAAATGCTCTGTCGGCGGCCTTATATTCAGCAATCAAATTTGCCAAATACAAACGACTGAGGACGCAAAACGAAAAAATCTTGTAAAATATCCCTACTGGTTTCTGCTACGTATCGACTATCAAGCAAGTGGCCAAAAACTGCATGCATGTATACCATTATCAGCAATAACGCATTTTCTACGCTTATTCTAATCCTAACCATCCATCCCACTATCCATCCATCCATCCATCCATCCATCCATCCAACCTACCAAGGCAGCTGTTAGGGTAAGGACCGCTCTCCAAACGGAAGAGCTCTGCTTTCAACGAGATTTTATGCCCATGGAAGTGGTGGAATCAACTGAAAGCGCTCGCGACAAGTATCCTTGGATGACAAGGAATGATCACTTCCACTGTATTTTCTTCCCTTGATGGCCCAAGCTGAAACAAACAAACAACACATCAGCAAAACTTCACTGTTGCTCAACAACTTCGTGTATTAGAATAAGAGCATCTCACTAGACAGCCGGCAAATTCAAACGACTTTAAAGCAAACAAAACGAATATTCTTACTAGAAAGCAAAACCAAAGCCACCACTTTGGATGATTAAAACATATTCCCATCAAATTAAATGAACGTGACAATGAAGAAGTATATGAACAAATTCAAATGCAGTCTGCACTACAGACACTGCAACAAAGCAAAGGGCGCAAGACTAGTGATCTCAGCAAGGAGCTCAGTAACCCATTATAGCAAAACACCAACACCGAAAGCTTAATCAATTTTGACAACAGCTGATGCTGATCGAACCGAATTAAAGGCCACCTTTCAACGGTACAGAAAGGATGCAGCACAATAATAATGACCATCTTACTAGAAACGCATCCTTGAAGATGTAATCCAGTGCTACCTTAAGGAAGTCTCACCAGTTGTCCCCAGCAATTTCCAAACAAAACCTGGAAAGAACACCAAAAGAATAAAAAGCAGTCAAATATATATACATAAATAGTAATCAGATTGAGCGTCCACGGAACACAAACAAAACAGAAAATGGACCAGAAGACTCTAAACGCCAGTTTGAACTGAACAATAGTAACATGAGGAGGAAGTGTCGCACCACGGTCTCATCTCTTGGACAGCTTTGAAATGGGCAGAGACACTATTGAACATGCGAGCATATGCATTACACCCCTCGCGCAATGGAAATGGTAAACAAAAGAAAGAAAAGAAAATTAAAAGGGGCCAAAAATTGTGCAAAGCAAGTACAATCCACAAACATTTAATCCGAGGGTATGACTTCCTAGATGACAAGTGTACATAAAGCTTATCTAGTATTCAGGAAAAGACTAATGAAATTTCACTTATAGCTAATAAAGTAGGCTTATAGTACAAGTTGAACATTTAAGGCATGTTCAACCCAATCAGTTAACCATAATTATTAATCATGACATATGGATCTCATTAGACAACCGAGAAACATTTTGCAAGGAACAGGAAATCAAATTAACTTCAGCAAAAGCAGATAACAGAATGCCTACAGTAAGTTGGAGTTGAGTTCTCACACTTATAAAACTTGATATCTGCCTTGCTGAGCTCCACCAGGAAGCGATAATGCCTGATTTGAGATGTCTTCCAAAACACGTTTTAATTCTGTCTTAGCTCTCTTGACAGATTGTTCAGTAGGGCCCTCGATAAACAGGTAGAGCTTGCGATCCCCTGGTCCTGTAACCTTGCCTGGTGGGAAATACTGACCCCTGGTAGTAATGGCAGCCCCAGTCCACTCTGATATAGGGCCCAAAGTTTCCTTGTGGGTAACCTTCCATCGAGCATTCTGGGGAAAATCATTTATCTCCAATTCTGCTTCATAGTGTTCAGGCATTGCATCAGCTTGAATCTTTGCCAAGTTATGCTGTAAGTTCATTGCAGCTGCAATAGCTGCTGCCCGAGCAGCCCCATCATTGCCCACGAGAGGCAGACTAGTCCCAGCAGCAACTGCTGCTGTTCCTGGCAACGCTAGACCAAGGACACCTGGAAGAGAAACAGGCAGTCCACTGCTTGGAAGTAGTTGGGCAGCAGAGGCAGGGGTCTGCATTGAAGCCGTACTAGCTTTGGAGGCAGCAGCAATGGCAGCTATCTGAGCAAGGGCAGCCTGCTGTGAGATGTCACCCCCTGCCTTTCGAATACCATCATCTTCATCTTCTGAATCTGACTTGTCCTCCTCAAAACCATATTCCTTGGCTTGTGCTTTCTTTGCTGCTCTCCTCACTTCATCTTCCTCTTCATTAAATTTGAAACCACTTCCCCCATAACCAGTCCCATGAGCTTGCTCAAGTCCCTGATTTACTTTTGCCGTGAAATTATCAGCGAGAGACTTCAGGTCATCTGGAACAACTTGCTCAGAGAGTTCCAATGCTTTGACAAGATCCGGAGCATATCTAGCATCTTCCCCAGAGATAAAAGTTATAGCACAACCTTTCCGGCCAGCTCGCCCTGTTCGGCCAACACGGTGAACATAGTCTTCATAGTGATTTGGACTGTCATAATTGATTACCAGTTCAAGCTCCTTCACATCTAACCCTCTGGCAGCAACGCTTGTTGCAACCAACAAATTACAAACATTGCTCTTAAAGTCAGTTATGGTGGACTCACGATCTGTCTGATCTTTGCCCCCATGAAGTGAGAGACAAGGATACCCATGCCTAAGCAGATCCCTGAACAAAGCATCGCATTTGTTCTGTGACTCAACAAATATCAAAATTTTTCCTTTCTCATACCATTCCCCAAGCAGCTCTAACAATCTCAAGAACCTTTCATTTTCCATCCTCACTTCAACTAATTGTGTTATGTCCTTATTCACAACACTCCTTCCACCAACTTGTATTTCCACAGGTCTGTTTAAGACTTTGCGTGCCAAGACTTCAACCTGGCGAGGGAAGGTGGCAGAAAACAAAACAGTTTGACGATCAGGCCGGATATTTTGTACAATTCGGGTGATTTGCGGTTCAAAGCCCATGTCAAACATTCGATCAGCTTCATCCACAACCAAATAAGTAACTCTACGCAGATTTGTTATTTTCCCCCCACTTGTGCACAGTATGTCAATCATCCTACCAGGGGTACAGACGACAATTTCGGCCCCCCGCTTCAATTCACTAATCTGTTGGGCAACACCAGAACCTCCGTATACAGGCACACACCTGAGACCAAGTACCTTTGTAAACTTTTTAATATCACCGTGAATTTGCTGAACAAGCTCCCTCGTTGGTGCCATTATAAGCCCAATAGGCCCATCTCCAGCTACCACAGGTGGCTGGTCCTTGATATGCCTCAGCATTGGCAGCACAAATGCAAGGGTTTTGCCTGACCCAGTCTTCGCAATGCCAATGCAGTCTCGACCACTCATAATTATAGGCACTGCCTGAGCCTGAATTGGCATTGGCTTTTCATAGTTAAGCTTTTTTATTGTTTCCAAGATTTTACTTGTAAGTCCAGTTTGGTGCCAGGTCTTGATGGGCTTGGGCACATCTTTACCATGGATCTTCAATTCCAATTGTTTCCGATACACCCCCACCTCTTCTGGGGTCATTCTTGAGATCTCCTTCACTTCAATATAGAAATTTTTACGAAATGGATCATAATCTATCTTTGAGTGATCAACTACAGCGAGCTTCTCAGCTTTGTCTTTTTCACCCTTTTTATGAACTCATCATCACCTTCATCTTCTACGGGATCATCATCATTCTCCAAGTCCCCATAATCTGAGTCAGAATCCTCCCCAGGAATTATTCTGCCCATCGATTTATTTGAACCTCTCCTTGGTTGTTCACCGTTGTTTCGACCATCCTTCTTATCCTTGTTCTTTTCATCAACAATTGACGGTTCCACTGCATTGGTCAGCTTCTCAACTTCAGGCAATACCATAGAATTCATAAAAGCATCTAAAGGATCAACTTCCTCATCATCAGCAGCATCATCGGCCCCATTGTGCAAAGTGGGTGCGGCTGTTTCATCTTCAGAAACTACCGCCATAGCATCTCCAACTTTTCTGTCAGTATGATTGTCTTCGTCATCAACATCTATACCTGTCTCTGATTTCTCTAAGGAAGGTACTTCTTCATCATCAGATTCTTCTTCAAGAGTCCAGGCCTTTCCTGACTTAGGTTCATCAGCATCCCCTTCCCCATTCTTCTCTCTCTCGGTTTCTTCCTTCTTTCTTTTTAACTCTTGCCACTCCTGAACTCTCCTTCTCCGCTTTTCCATTTCCTCATCCAATTTCCGTTGTTCATCCTCCAGCTCCTCCTCACGGGTTGGTTGTTCTTCCTCAGATGAATCACCTTCATCAGACTTCTTTCTGGGGCTCCCATCTCCATCATCCCTATGTCTTTTTGACCTGCTGCTACTCCTTTCCCTCTCCCTCTCCTTGTAGTCATTGTTATCTTTCCTAGGTCGCTTCCTATCACGCTCCCTACCATCATCATCAGTATCATCAGCATCAATGTCCCTGCGCCTCTCCCTCTCCCGCACCCTCCTCTCCCGATCTCTATCTTTTTCCCTCTCCCTCTCTCTCTCCCTCTTATCTTCTATCTCTCTTTCTCGTTCCCTTCTCTCCCTCTCTCTTTCTCGTTCTTTTTCTTTTTCTCTTTCTCTTTCTCTTTCTCTTTCACGTTCTTTTTCTTTTTCTTTCTCCTTTTCTCTTTGTCTTTCTTTTTCCCTTTCTCTTTCTTTTTCTCTTTGCCTTTCTTTTTCCCTTTCCTTTTCCTTCTCTCTAGTCCTATCTCTCTTCTCCTTTTCTTTGTCTTTGTCCCTCTCTTTATCTTTATCCCTCTTTTTGTCTCTCGTTCTCTCTCTATCATCATCTCGGTTGCGCTTCCTATCACTATCCCTGTCTCCATGCTTCTCCCTATCATACCTCTCGTCAGAATCAGAACTCTTTTCTCTCTCATAGCGCCGACTATCACGGTCTCTCTTATCTTTATCTTTATCCCTATGCCTCTCTCCATTTCTCTCCTTTTCACGATCCCGATCTCGATGACTCCTCTTGGATTCCCCCTCCTTCCTAGATTTATGTTTGACCTCTTCCATTGCTCCCTTCTATGCCATTCACAAACACAAAAATCAATTCTCATTCTGAATATATAACGAATGAGCAGACATAAACAGAAAAGGCCATCCATCGCTCTACTTCCATAAAAAGGACGCATAAACATACCACGGATTATGATTATTTTCGATGTCTTTTCAAACTTATGCCTATAAATTATCAAAGCTTAAATTTACTATACCAATAACATACCTCATTCATAACCCAATGCAGCAAGAATATGGAAAGGATAAATCAAAGAAAACAGACATTTTTGTCTCATCAGAAAGAACAAACAGAGCAACATATATATCAGTGAAGCAACAGTGGTCTTTTCTTATCTTAAATCTAAAAGGAACTTAACCCTCTTTGTAGCAATATATATGTTCTTTTGTGTGGGGAGGGGGAGGAGGTTCTTAAATCTTAATGTAAGTAATCAAAGAAGAATATAGAGGAAAATCTTGAAAGCGCTGAAAGCAGAAAACTAATCTAACTAAATTATAACTAGTCTATAGTGAAAGTTTGTTCTGATACAATTAGTTAGATTATGATTAGTCCTCTGGAACAGAATCCTTTTAGTTTAGACCATGGCTCCATCACAAATAACTAATACCAGTCTCTTGCATAACAGTTATCTTGCACGCAGTCACGTTTTAGGTAGTTTAAAAAGGCAACTAAAACAGATGCAGTATTTGTGATGGCGTGAAAGATAGATAACTGTTATGCGAAGAGACTGGTATTAGTTATTTGTGATGGAGCCATGGTCTGACCCAAAAGGATTCAGTTTCTACGCCAACCGATGTTTGAATTATTAATCTCTTACAATACCTACGTTCTTGTATAATTTCTTAGGACTGGGCTACCTCAGAAGTTCAACATGGATGCCCAGAAATCCAATATATGAAACGGCAACGTCATGGTCCGTAGTTCAACATAAAACCAACATGCATGCTCAGCAGAAATCTAACCAATCCGATTGATTGCAGAAATAAAACATGCATGCATAAATTCAAACGATTCAAATTGAGAAATCCAAATCCAAATTTAATTGCAGAAATCCAAACCCAAATCCAGAAACAACCAAAATTCCTGAAACCCCAATTTTCACAAAAATCAACCATAGACAATAATTCGAAAGAAAACCCTAAAATTTGAAAACAATTCGAACCAAATACCTTGGGCTAAAAAGTCGCTCGATCGAAAGAAAGAAAATCGGAGAGAGAGATAGCGGCAGGTGTGTGCGTGGTTTTTCTGTGGTGTGGTCGAGAGAGGATATGGTGTGGTGCTGGCCACAGTCGAGACTCGGAGAAGGTGGGCGGAGGAGGAGAGGAATCGAGAGAGCTGAGAAGGTTCGAGTCGAGAAGAGAGGTAGGAGGCGGGTCTCAAAATGAGGGAGGACTGAGGGACTGAATTAGATTGGACGGTTCAGATTAAAACTCACACAATTGGACGGTCCATATAATTCCTAAGCTCTATTTTAAAATTATATATATATATATAATTGGATAGAATTCACTTTTCTTTATCTTTAGATCTAGTTTCCTTTTTTTTTTCTTTTTTTTGCCATTATAAATTTGTTAAATTAGAAATAAAATTAGAGAGCTAACAAATTTGAATTCAAATCGCAAGGACAACATTGTTTTCTATCATTGTGTTAGAAAGCCACTTGTCCAATAGTTCCTAAGTAAAACTTAAATTGTCCCTTTGCAACGTGAAAATAAATAATAAAAAATCAAGTAATTTTATTTTCAAACAAAAAAATCGTGCAAAGAGTAAAAACTTAAATCCTTCTTCTTTGTCTTATCCTTCAATCTCCGTATGATACAATCACTTACCACAATGTTTTTCTCTCATGCCTTTGTTCGTTCATGGCTTGATAGTTTGGTGTTTTAATATCATCCCTATATGCGGTTGAGAAAGTGATAGATGTAGCTTATTTTAGAGTTCCAAGAAATCATTAGAGCTCTAAAAGAGAATCTCTCAATGAGGGGCTATTTATTTTCGGGTTTTTTGAGCAATCTCCAATGAAGGCCTATTTACTTTCGGGCTCTATACGAGACTATATATATTTGTTTATGTAGTAACTTGATTACGCAATAATTTTTATTTTTGTGTTACTTTTTCTTAGTTGATTTTTGGACGTGTTCTTATAAAAAAAAATTATGAATATTTCAACCTAAAAAGTTTCAAAATTTGACAAAGTTAGATTGCTTCAATTATGAATCTGTAGACATCGAAATTTCGGTAAATAAATGTTGACCGATAAATCAAAGTTTCAACGCTCATGTATTACATAAATTTTACACGTAGCGTGTGACTCAACGAAAATTGAAATGAGTTGGAAAAGTCATCAAATAGGACACGTGTCAACACCTGGCAGAAACGACTTATTTCATCTGGAATATTATATTCAAAATTAGGCCTTGGAAATTTCTATAAATACAAGCCCATTTCATTCATTTGAGGGGAACCAAAATCATTAGGCAAAACTCTTGAAGCTCTGAAGCTCTGAAACTCCGAAGCTCTTAAGCATCCAGGTTCCCGAAGAATCAAGAAAGCATTCTTCGTTCATCGTTCATCCTAAGATCAAGCCCCAACAACCCTTTGGATCAACAATCATCCACCAATTCAAGATCAAGCCCTAACGGCCCTTGAAGAAAGTGTTCCTCGTTCTTCGTTCATCGTTCTTCCAAGATCAAGCCCCGACGGCCCTTGAAGAAAGCACCATCGTTCATCATCCGTTCATCCAAGATCAAGCCCCAACGGCCCTTTGGATCAACAACGTCGACAAATCCACACATCAAACCGTTCTTCAAGATCAAGCCCAAAAGCCCTTGAAGATCCGTTCATCACTGTTCTTCAAGATTAAGCCCAAAAGCCCTTGGAGATCCGTTCATCACTGTTCTTCAAAGATCAAGCCCAAAAGCCCATTTGAAGATCCGCTCAAATCCACCTTCAAGATCAAGTCCACGGCCCTTGAAGAACGTTCATCCTTAGATCAAGCCCAACGGCCCTTTGGATCAATCGCACATCCACAAATCAACACCTTACGGAGATCGAATCAGAGGATCAAATTTGAGAGAGATTGTAACCCAAAATCTTCAAATACATAATATTTGTTTGTGCACGTCGTTCTTGTCTCATTCGTTTCAGGAATTTTCTGTGTTCACAAATTGGCACGCCCAGTGGGACAATCTCTGCCTCTCATCTCTTTCTCCGTTCAAGAAATTCGAGCACACTTCCAAAATTAATGGCATCAAGGAAGGCTCAAACTGTTCCCGCAACTGGCGCAAAGAACAAAAGCGTCCTCGTCGCAACGGGTGTCACTTTGGGCATCACGACTCGAAGCATGGCAAGAGCTACTTATGCCGCCTCTTTCACCTCTGCATCAACTCTGCCAAGGGAACAAAAGCACCCAAGGCACGAGCCTTTGATCACCTTAGCCTCACTAAGGGCACCAAGGGGGGAAAGCCCAAGGAAATACTCCGAATCCATGCTCTCCGATGCCGATTCAAGCGACAGTTCAGCCATGCAAGTCATGACTATTGGAGCAACTTCAATCGATGAGCAGCTGGCTCAAATGAATGAAGCAATCGCAAGGCTAACCCGAACTGTGGAAGAAAAAGACTTGCAAATTGCAGCACTAGTCAACCGACTGGAGGCGCAAGACGACGATAAACCCGACCCAGAGGATGATCCACTAAAGGGAGGAGCTGGCGGAGACGAAGAACCCCCGGTGAAGAAAATCGACGGGAAGCCAGAGCCAGACCAAGCAGCGGCACTCATGGGATCTCTTTCTATCCAGCAGCTGCAGGAGATGATCACCAACACCATCAAGGCACAGTACGAAAGGAGCTCACATACCTCATTGTTCTACTCGAAGCCCTATTCCAAGAAGATTGATGCCCTAAGGATGCCAATGGGTTATCAACCACCAAAGTTCATGCAGTTTGATGGAAAAGGAAACCCGAAACAGCACGTTGCCCACTTTGTTGAAACTTGCAACAACGCAGGGACCGAAGGGGACTACCTTGCCAAACAGTTTGTGCGCTCGCTGAAAGGAAACGCCTTTGAGTGGTACACGGACCTAGAGCCTGAGTCCATCAACAGCTGGGAGCAATTAGAGCGGGAATTCCTCAACCGCTTCTACAGCACCCGTCGCACTGTGAGCATGCTAGAGCTAACGAGCACAAAGCAGTGGAAGGACGAGCCAGTCATTGACTACATCAACAGATGGCGCACTCTAAGCCTCGACTGTAAAGACAGGCTCTCGGAAACCTCTTCAATCGAGATGTGCATCCAAGGCATGCAATGGGGTTTGCAATACATCCTTCAAGGCATTAAACCACGGACTTTCGAGGAATTGGCCACTCGTGCCCATGACATGGAGTTGAGCATCGCCCATCATGGAAAGAAAGAACCGATCTCCGACTACAAGAATGACAAAGTTCTTGGGACAAAGGTGGAAAAGATTGCATGGAAACCCACCAAGGAAGCGATGACGGTCAATACAGCTCCCGTCAAAATCTCCACACGAGGCAAGGCAATTCAAAACGAAGCTTTTCGTGATCAAGAGATGCGTAGACGCACTTTGAAGGAGCTTGAGGAGATGACTTATCCATTCCCCGACTCTGATGTGGTTGCCATGCTGGATGACCTGTTGGACAAGAAGGTGATCAGTTTGCCTGAGTGCAGACGGCCGGAAGAGATGAATCGTACCGACAATCCAAGATACTGTAAATTCCACCGCTTCATCAGTCATCCGACAGAAAAATGTTTCGTGCTGAAAGATCTCATCATGAAACTGGCTCAGAAAGGAATCATCGAGCTAGATCTTGACGAAGTGGCGAAGTCAAACTATACCACCTTCACTTCTGGCTCTTCCGACTCAAAGTTTTCACCTCAACCGCTGGGGGCATCGTCCAAGACAAGCAAAATTGAAGGATGGACTCAAGTCAGTCCTAAGAAATTGCACAAGAAGCATACGTCTCCTCCACAAGTCCGCCAATCGGAAAGGGGGCAAAGCAGCTCTTGTCAACCTTCAAAGCAACGTGAATGTGTTGAAGATGATGAAATTTCGACACATAGATCGTCTGTTGCCATCACGATGCGCGACTTCTTGCCCGAAGATTTTTTCAATCACGCGGTCAAAGCTCCTTGCTATGAAAATTGTGAGGAACGCCTCTCCAAAATTGCTTGACAAAATTCACAAATTCTCCTCGCCCGCACGAGTCTAAACTGCATGGCACTAAGCTCCTTGTCTGCATGAGTTAAAACTGCAAACGGCACTAAAAGAAAATACCAAAAAAAATATGTATGTATTTGAACTACGTTACGACTTGATCTCTTCTTTGAGGGGTACGTAGGCAGCTTGAATATTCAAAATTTCGAGTTCAGTCACATCAAAATAAAAAAAAAATGTTTTATTAAAAAGAGTCAATTTTATTACAAGAAGAAAAAAAAAAAAAAACACATGAAAAAAAAAATAATAATAATATATATATATATATATATCAAAGTGGGGGTATCTCTCCATTTTTAATGCCGTCCCTAAGCCAAAATGGATGAAATCAGTCCTAAATCCAGTCGGTGCAGTAAATCAGGACAAATCCTTTTATTGGGGCTGAATTTGTAAGGCAGCTTGTCAAACTCCAAACAGCAACCGACTACCTCTCCATGGACCAAGACCAGACCCAAGTGGAAGTCGACTTCTCTCTGAGCCCACAAGTCAACTTCGTCAAAAGCTTCCAAGGCAGTAGCCATCACTGACCAGGCCACGACTCTCGTGCAAGCTGGAGTACCCATCATTCGATCAACTGCTGGCGGTTCCACTGCTTCACTTGAGGTTGTCAAGCTCTTGCCCGACGCTCCCGCCGATGCTAATTGCGTCAATGCTAAAACAACAAGCCTCATCAGTTCATTTCTCTCGGTCTCAGTCTTCCTCGCATGACCCACCTGGCCAGCATCCAAATCTTGTGAGTTCGGGTTCACCATCATCTCCTTAGTTGAGAGAAGTCGATTGTCAACTCAGCCTCCGCGTCCCTGCCTCTCAGATTTGCAGATCCACTGACGGTGACATCGATGTCACCATCGTCGGAGCGGATGACGCTACCATCTCACTCGAAAGCTATCTCACAGATCTTGAGAAGTGGGTGGTGCAAGAGATTATAAGAATTCACAGATCTGACGGAGGAAAATGGAAATGACGGCATTTGAAACAGTGGGTTTTGATTCGTGAGAATTCGCATAATCTGTTCGCCGATTTGATTGAGAGAATTTCCACTTACGTCTCATCTCCCGATTCCACTTCTTCCTCTTCTGCGACGGCAAATGTGAGTTCGGGTTCGAATTACGTTCCTGGAGTCCTTCCTCACCAGCCCTTTT